CTACTCGGGAGGCTGAGGCAAGGGAATCGCTTCAACCCGGGAGGTGAAGGTTGCAAGGAACCGAAATCACGCCACTTGCACTTCAACCTGGTGACACAGTAAGACTCCGGAAAAAAAAAAAAAAAAAACACTACCTGGCACAAAGAGCGCACAAAAATAGGTTTTGAGAACTTATTTTGAGCAAGGCGCTCAGCTGTTGCCCTGGGTTTACTGCAGTGCAGAGGTACTACCTCAGCCCTTGGGGGGTTCATACTTTAAAAGGGAAAAGCAGCAATTAAAGGACAAATTACACTCTGTTTAAACAGCCATTGTGATAAATGCTCTCGATAAAAGTTTAGGTTACAAAATGTTGAGAAAAACAAGCATAATCTCATGACTTAACTTTGCAAATTCATTGAGATAATATAAGCAAACTCCTGCTGACATTTCCGTGAAAATTAAGTGTTATCACAATTATTAATCTTATTATTGTAAAATAGATCATTTAGAACACTGTATTTAACCACTTTGGTTGTGCCACTTTAGACAAGTTTCTTAATCTCTCAACTACTTCACTTCCTTAAATCTCACAACAGAAATCCCTTCCTCAAAGGCTAGGTTTAGCACAATGGTTGTCATGTGGTACATTTCTGATCAGGCATTTATTTATGCTACTATTGCAAAACAGATTCAAGGTTATCTACACAACTATACTATAAGATAAAGTGAAAAATGTTAATAGATTTAAATCAAGATAAAGAGAACACAGAGAAAGAAAAGTAAGGTGAGACAAAATAATGCACACTGTAAATCACACCCCGCCCCCTGTCTTCGAGAGCATGGATTATAAAGGGAGATGACCCCTTCCAGGAGATTAGAGAAGACTTCTCCCAGGAAGTGATGTTTAAACCGAAAACTAAAGGCCTAGTTGGACAAAAATGTGACTCCAGCATTCCAAGAAGATCAAAGAGCAGAGCACTTTCAGACACCTGAGAGAAGTCCTGAGCAGCTTGTGTACAGACAGCTCAAGAGAGTGTTGATGAGGGTGGGGGCTGAGGTGGACAGGAAGGCAGGGACAGACCAGTGACTCACAGGCTCAGAGGTTATAGCTAGTAGTACAGAGGGCTGACTGCACCCTAGCAGCAATGTGAAGCCACTGGGAATTCTAAGCAGGAAGGAACGACATGATGAGATTACTTTTAAGAGTACACTGGCTTTATGTAAAGAATGAGTCAGAGTGAAGGAAGAGATGATGCAAAAACATAAATTAGGCCATTGTGCAGATGAAGGCCATCCAGACATGGCTTAGCGACTATGTGGCAGTGGGGAGGAATGGTGCAGAGAAACTGGGGAACAGCTAGAAGAAAGAAAATTTGGGCCCAGACTGCCCCTGGGAACCTGGAGGGCAGGAGGTGTCAAGATGTCTCAGCTGCTTATTTACCAAAAGAAGCTCTTTACAGGGAAAGGCAATAATAAAGCAAAACAGGGCAAGGCCAGTGGCTCCCACCTGTAATCCCAACATTTTGGGAGGCAGAGGTGGGCGAATCACTTGCAGTCAGCAGTTCCAGACCAGCCTGGCCAACATGATGAAACTCCGTCCGTCTCTACTAAAAATACAAAAATTAGCCAAGTGTGGTGGTACATGACTGTAGTCCCAGCTACTTCAGGAGGCTGAGGCAAGAGAATCACTTGAACCTGGGAGGCAGAGGCTGCAGTGAGCCGAGATCACACCACTGCACTCCAGCCTGGGTGACAGAGCAAGACTTCATCTCAAAAAAAAAAAAAGAAAAAATGTTGGGGTCCGCGTGTTTCCTAAACAAAGGAATGAACACACAAGACAACACAAGACAAGACAAACATGGCGGCCGCCTCGAATGGCCTGCTCTGCTTTATTTTATACAGTCATTTGTGGAATGTTGCCAAGTCACAAGACACATTGTTGTTTTTCTGACCTTTCCCTGACTTTCTGGATTTTCAAGATGTTTACACATAAACAAGCCCCCAACGCCCTGCTTCCCCAAGAGCAGGACTTACTGGGAACACCCTGCTTCGTTTGCAAGAGCAGGACTTATCGGGAACACCCTGTTTCTGAGCACGCAGTCCTCTACAAAAAAAGAAAAATTAGAAATAAACTGGAATAGGAAACGGCACCTTGTAGCTTTTGAGAGTTCTCTGGGAAGCATAGAGCATTTATTCTGCTCTTGATGAGCCTTGTGAAAACCTGAGGCAACTGCTGCTAGTTTTAACCAGTAAGCAAGGCCTGGATGACCAAATAATAACGAGGAGAATTTTGGGAGGAAGTGATCTCTCCAGAGACAGTCAACATGGGATAAATGAATACAGGCTGAGTAAGTCCTTGACGAGGGCTTCCAAAATGTTGCCACACTGATGGCATTCAAATCTCCTGGAGTCACTGTTAAAAACCCAGATTCAGGCCGGTTGCGGTGGCTCACACCTGTAATCCCAGCACTTTGGGAGGCCCAGGTGCGCGGATCATCTGAGGTCCAGGGATCGAGACCAGCTTGACCAACACGGAGAAACCCCATCTCTACTAAAAATACAAAATTAGCTGGGCTTGGTGGCGCATGACTGTAATCCCAGCTACTCGGGAGGCTGAGGCAGGAGAATCACTTGAACCACGAGGTGGAGGTTGCAGTGAGCCAAGATGGTGCCATTGCACTCCAACCTGGGCAACAAGAGCGAAACTCCATCTGAAAAAAAAAAAAAAGGAGTTTCACAGATTCTATCTCAGACTCACTGAATCAGAATATTCTCAAGGTCTGGCTGACCTCCACAACTTAATTCACTGTTATCTTTTCTCTGCCCTATGCAGTGAATTCCCTCTCTGAACATGATCGTGACCTCTGAGACCCTACATGATCTATGTGCATCATGTAGGGTCTACGTGTATCTAACCCCCTCATCTCCTATCAAGTTCTCCCTTGTTTACTGATCTTCAGCTGCACTATTCTCCTCCATCGTTCCTTGAACATGCCAATGGCATTCCGGCCAAGCCTTTTGTAATTACTGTTCCCTCAGCCTGAAATTCTCTTTTCCCTGATAGCCTCACAGCTCACTCACTCACTCACTTCCTTCAAGTCTCTGTTCAGATGCCTCCTTATCAGGAAGGCCTCCTTGGTCACCCTTTATTATAAAGCAATCTCCTCCCCTTTGTTCTCCATTCTCTTGCTCTTTTTCTTCATGGCATGTATCACTACCTCACATTTTATATATCTGGTTGAGTTTATTCTTTATCATTCCCCACTAAAATGTAAACTCCATGAGAGCAGAAGCTTTTTCCGTTGTGTGGAGTGCTATCCCTGCACCCACTATGTATGGTTCAGGTCTAGTTAAGAAATAAGGCCTGGCGCGGTGGCTCACATCTGTAATCTCAGCACTTTGGAAGGCGGAAGAGGGCGGATCACTCGAGGTCAGGAGTTCAAGACCAGCCTGGCCAACATGGTGAAACCACTTCTCTGGTAAAAATACAAAAATTAGCTGGACGTGGTCACGGTGGGCGCCTGTAATTCCAGCTATTTGGGACGCTGAGGCAGGAGAATCACTTCAACCTGGGAGGCAGAGGTTGCAGTGAGCCGAGATCATGCCACTGCACTCCAGCCTGGGCAACAGAGCAACACTCTGTCTCAAAAAAAAAAAAAAAAAAAAAGAATAAGACTAGGTATGTCAACTAGGCACAACACAGTAACTCAGATAACAACTACTGGGAAGTAGCTACCACCTTGCGGGGCTGGAAGAACGAAAAGGAAGAGGTTGAGACCACTGAGGAAAGGCACCCTGGAGTGCTAAAGAGGACGCGCTGCAGCTGGACTAGTACTTATTTATGTAAGGGGCAGTGAGACATTCGGAATGCATGAAGAGAACAAATAGAGATGGGACTCAACTGCCATTGTTGGAGTGACCTGACAGGAAGAACAAAACTTAGAAAGTAGCCCTTGCTTCTCTCCTCTTGCTTTCTAGTCTCTTTCTGGTTCCTCTTACTAACAGAACACAAGAGGAAGCCAGTGGGCAAAGGAGTTTGGGAAATATCATTTGCAGGTGCCCAGCCCCAATGTCACAAAACAAAGTATATGAGGGTGATTTTAAAGCTGAGAGGGAATGGATTAATAGGAACACAGCTTTGAACAAAGTAGGACTCAAGAGCAGCACATTAATTATCAGTCTTGTTCATTACTATTTGAGTTAGGGGCTCATCTTGACTGTAAATATCAGCTTGTCTTCTTCACTTCTTGTTTCTCTTTTTATCGCTTCCTGCATCTGGTAGTTTGGATGACTTAGATCTAGTCAACAGGACTGGAAGCAAGAGAAAAGGTCCAATGCAATGAGACTGAGGGGGTAGTTTTTTGTTAGCTTTTTGTTTTCTTTCTTTTTTCATATGGAATGTTATTGGTGGCAACCTGGTGGTAAGCCATTCCAGAAGAATGGTAAAAGATAACCAAGTCAGTAATTGATAATTAGCTTCTATACCTTCCACACCCCTAGTACAACCCTCCACCCACTCTTTCTTCTCTTAGTACTCTAAAACTGGTAAGTTTCTTGACTCTGGTGTTTTTAAAACAAAGACAAACGCCAAGCATATCTGAAAAACATTTGAAAATGCTACCAGCTCTATCTCCAATTGGTATGCAGGGAGGGAGGGGAGATGAGAAGAATTTTGGAGAATTAAATTCTTAATGAAAATCACTGTTGTGTAACTGAACATGGTTCTATTAAGCAGCAATTAACCGTTCTGTTCCATCAAAGCAATTTCCTTAGATTTTTTCTTTTTTCCTTACCAGACATATTGTACTCTTTTCTACAGAGAAAGCGGAGTAAGAACAAGGATTTGCCAACTTCCTTCGTTGTCTTACTCATTTTGGGTCAAGAGGAAGAAAAGTGGCAAAACAGATGCGTTGCCCCCTCTGAGGTTCGAACTCAGGACCTTCAGATTATGAGACTGACGCGCTGCCTACTGCGCTAAGGAGGCAACCGTCTTTATGGTTTAAGCAAGGACTCTACCAACGTGATTATGAGTACTATTAATAAGGTTTTAAGTTATCCGAACTATAGTGTTTCAAAATAAGATGGAAATATGATTTAATTCACTTCTAAAACACTTTGGATGACAAAACTACGTAGTACAAGGCAGGGGCCAACTCCTAAACCAACCTCGTTCTCCCACAGCCCTTCCTAAAGAGACTTCAAGGGCTGCGAAGGCAGTTGAGTCCAGACTTTGCAAAAGTCCTTCCCGTACGGGGCCCTGGATTTCTCATCTCATTTCTGGGCCAGGAACGAGCAGTCTTTCCCTCTATGATTAGGGCTTTCGCAGATGTATCGCCTCTGAAACGAAGACAAGACAAATAATAATGAGCGCACTCTTTGCCTCCCTTGTGAAGTTCCGTGGAGACACTCGGTCCCCTGAAATGGACGAAGGGCAAGGGGAGGAGGTCTCAGGATTTTTCCACGCTTTTCTTGGAAGCAACACGCTCAAATCAAACGGTTGGACTTGCTTATTCCTGAAGTCTAGAGGCTTACTTCCTGGAGTCCAAGCGGATGTGGAGCCCGTGGCGTCCTCTGGCGCTCTCGGTCTCTTCGACCCCTTTTCATTGTGTTGATGACAAATGGGGCAAGATTGCCTTCCTGCACCACCTGCAGCATCCTGTCCGGGATCCACCTGGGAGCTGAAAGGAAGCAAAGTGTCGGGGATCGGGGGTTCTCGGGCTGTGCTGAGAAGCGAGGAATGCTGAAGAAGGGGCCCGAGGGAAGGATTTATAGCGATGTGGGAATGGGAATGAAAAGACTGGAAAGGGGCGATAGTCACTTGGGTGAAAGTGCAAGCGGTGACACAGCCTGCGGGCGGTAGCGTGGCCGAGCGGTCTAAGGCGCTGGATTAAGGCTCCAGTCTCTTCGGGGGCGTGGGTTCGAATCCCACCGCTGCCAGAGTGAGTTTCTTTTCTGACCCAGGAGAGGTCCATTTTCAAGCCTTGTGTGGGCAGTTCTCACTGCCTCCTAAGTGAGGCAGGTCCCTCTTCTGTTTCCCAAGGGGCCACCGATAACACCCATATGTACAGTCGCCCAAACAGTGCCCAACTGTTTCTAGATTTAGGAGCTCAGAAATCTCTTACCCTTGTTACTCCCTTCAGTGGCCTTCATGTGTTTTCATTCACTTTGCAAGATTTGTGAACCAATCATGGGCAATTCTAAGGAAAAAGTACAACCTTCTTAACTCCAGACTCAAGAATAAATAAGCCACGCACGCTCATCCGCCCTATTTTCCATTGTCTTCTCCAAGGACAAATGTGCTAAGGCTGAAAAAGCAAACGAACCAGCAAACGAAACAGTCACCAGACACCTAGAGCCTTTCCCCCTTCACCTATCCTCAGAGAGCAGTTCAAGGCCCTTAGTTGAACACAGTTGAAGAGTTAGCTTTTGAGATTCTGATATTATCTTAAACAGTAACCATTTTTTATTTTCTTTTTCCTTTTTCCTTTTTCTTTTTTTTCTAAGAAATAAGGTGGAGGCTCATAGAATAAAAAGAATGACACCTGTTTTAGGGAAGAAGGACTTGATCCGTTATTTACCTGGATCTGGAGTAGTTTAGACCATCTTTTAAGGCTAGGAGACTCGAGGAAATAGAATGGAGAGTTTGTGTGTGCAGGGAGGTGGGTAGATGCTTAGGAGCACTTTACAGTCGTCTAGCCAGAAGTCTTTTAATTTCACTGCTTCCTTCCTCATCTTCCAAAAGATGTATCCAATACATACATACTAATTGAGCAGATATTTTGTAACAGGTACCTTGCTTGGTTGGAGATACAACGAAAGGATGAATACCAGCAAATGATTCCAGGGTTTCTTAGCAATTCAGTCTTGAGAGACTAGAGAAGCACATTAAGCATAATTGACCTAGGGCTGGCGCGGTGGCTCACGCCTGTAATCCCAGCACTTTGGGAGGCTGAGACGGGCAGATCACGAGGTCAGGAGATCAAGACCATCCTGGCTAACACGGTGAAACCCCGTCTCTACTAATCATACAAAAAATTAGCCTGGCGTGGTGGCGGACGCCTGTAGTCCCAGCAACTCGGGAGGCTGAGCCAGGAGAATGGCGTGAACCCGGGAGGTGGAGCTTGCAGTGAGCCGAAATTGCACCACTGCACTCCAGCCTGGACGAAAGAGCAAGACTCCGTCTCAAGGGGGAAAAAAAAAAACATAATTGACCAATAACTAATATTAAGATTGACTGAAGTAGTAATTTATACCTGAGTATTTCTTCCAGACAAGCTACGTATATATGTGGTCTATTTATTTTATGTTGTTCTTACAGTTACTAGGTAAACAACCATGTTATCTTAATAAAGTTAAGATTTGAAAAAATAAATGACTACGTCCAGCGTTGTAACATCCTCGTTTGGTCATCCATACTAAAGGACACCAATTTGTGGGGCCATCTGGACGCTAAGATGTCCACCTGGGAGCCGGGACCTGCAAAGGCGAAAGAAGATAGGAGGAAGATAGGAGGAGGAGGAGTTCCCTTTTGAACTTTTAAAATTTAGCCTAGCGAATGAAGGCAAAAAGGAAGTCTAAAGTCTTCCAAAAGTCTAAGCTGGGCTGTCCCACTGAGTATTCATTCATTCGTTCATTCATTCACTCATTCTTTCATTTATGTATTCATGCAACAAACATTGATTGAGCTTCTACAAAGTAGCAGACCGTGGGCTATCAAAGAGGAGTGAGACTCAGTCCTGCACTTAAGGCATTTTGCAGGAATGCAGGAGACAGATTTTAAAAATTCAAGCCCATGGTTACAACTGAGGGGCAGTGCCAAGATACTCGGAGGTTGTTCTAGAGGCATCTGTAGGTATCGTACGATGAATAAATGAGACTGTAGAAAGTAGATAGTATATTCTTCTTTTCTCTCTTTTCTCCCTTTCAAACTGTGAGACTAAAATTCAATTTATCTTTTCGTGGGCTGGAAACGGAAGAAAAATATCCAGGAATAACCATATTCCCAGATCAGTATACTGCGCTGCCCCGAAGGATGGAAAGAAACCTGGGAGAAAGACGCAGTGGAAACAGTGTGTGAGCCCTCCCTCTCGCACCCCTGTGTTTGGTACTCCAAAACAAAAAACTGCTCCTGCAAAATTACTTTAAATCAATTAGTAAGTAGAAGAAAAGAGAGATCCCAGGTGGATGGAGTATCCTACCATTCCTAAGGAGGGTTCCATGGTGTAATGGTTAGCACTCTGGACTCTGAATCCAGCGATCCGAGTTCAAATCTCGGTGGAACCTTTCGTATTTCTCTCTTTTTGCCCTGTTTCCGGTAACTTGAGCGTGAACCTTGCTGCTTTCAATTTCACTTTCATCACTTTGATTTTTGATGGTGTCTGGCCGTGAGGAAAAACACGTAATCTGCAGTCCCAATAACCTATGAGCTCAGGGCCAGTATGTAATAATGGGGTCTGTATACATGTCTTTCTACCCCCACCTAGTTTGGTTTCCTCCCAGGACGCCTCTGGGTGAGTGCTCATGTAGTAAATGAATGCGCCTTTTAACGAACTGACCAAAGCAGAGCAAAACGTGATTCGCTATTAAACAGCGAACAAGACTGAAAAGGAAGAGGATAGACCTTATTGATAGTGTATCATTTTAGTTAGGATAGAAAAAGTAGGGAGAATGAAAACACAGAAATGGCTGAGAAAGTAGAGTGAAGGGAGAATAAAACTGATGTGTCAGAAGTGGGATTCGAACCCACGCCTCCATTGGAGACCAGAATCCTCAACACGAGGAAGCCAACCTTGAGTCTGGCGCCTTAGACCACTCGGCCATCCTGACACCTGAGACACTCCCGCTCGCAAATCAATATAATCTTCAATTGTAAGGAATGTGCAACCAGCGTAAGTCATTACTACGTTCGCGGTTTAATGAAAGAAATGGAAAAAGGAAATTCCTACAAGTTAACAAAACGTTCTATCTAAATGGAATCAGGAACCGTAACTCAACTCGCGAGGCTCTCCTCCCAATTCAGGCTAGAATTCAGCGTTTCTCGCCCCT